GGCATAAAAGTGAGAGTCCTTTAGAAAGTTGCAAGGTTCCCCTACTGTATGTAGTCTACTGTTGGCGTTGAAAATTGCAGGGTCTGATCTTTCGGACTCCAGAAATCTATCACTTGACATTGATTTTAATACTCTGTCTTATTGCGCACTCAGCCGCTGTCTAAATACAACACTGTGTACTGAAGCTCGTTTCAGAAGAAGCAATTTATTGTTCTCTGAGGTTCTCACAGCAGAAAATATGAGGATTTCCTCCTTCTGAGCTCTGGGTGAATGCATTTGTTAGAGCGATATAAACTTAATGAAGGAAACTGCGGGCACAAACTTCAGAATATACGAAATCTACAAGGTGCAACGTCTTCAAAATTGCCTGAAGAAGGCGTAAAAATGTCATTTACAATGTCTTGTCCACTGTATGAATAGATCTGTAAGTGCTAAATGAAGACCCACACTTTCTCCTAGCTCACTGGACTGTAGCTGACCCAAGGAAGTGACTATTCTTGTCACAAACAACGTGCAGTACGCGAGCTTCCATTTCCCTACCTTCAGTTCATGATGCCTGAACCGTTGCCAGCAATTGGCTGGATATGCAGCTGTAACCAGGATAGTATTCAGATTACAGACAGTTATTTAAAACTTTCCATGCTGAGCACGGCATACACCGTTTCGACTCAGTGTCTCTTCGAGCCCGAATTTATATTTTGCTCCATAAGGTTATAGTAAAATATGTATGTTGCTCAGTTTCACAACAGCTATGCAAGATGTACCTTATTCAGAAGCACTGATCCTGAATGCCCGATTTTACGAGTGTTTGGACATATTTTTCATTTTCTTCCCGTGCTGTTATATTCCCAGATGATCTCTTCATTTCCTTCTCAGAGTCCCAAAGTTCTTAGAGGCGTTCGTGTCTGCTTGCCAGTTTGAAAATTCTACGTTACTCCACATGTCATGAATGTGCTTTTCAATTCTCTCTTTCTTCTCCTAATTCATCAAACTTTTTAGTTTTTTCTTGGCTTGTACTTTGCCAGGCATTCTGAACTGAGCTACTCTCTTCACAGTTTTATTTGAACTCTCTGTGATCTTCTGTACTCCTATTTCAGTAACCAAGTTTCCAGTCATTCCAAATCTGTCAACATCAGTTCCTGCTATAAAGAGCAGGACCTCCGTAAGCACAGTGGACAAAACTAGTATTCGCTAATGAGATAAATTAACCATTGCAGCTGTTGCCAAAATCCTGAATTGACGATTTAAGACAGTATTTGTTGTTCTTACTCAGCAATTCTAATTTTTAGTTTACCTTGAACTTTAGTCTTTTTTGGTCTAATAATACGAAGATTTAAACGTTTTTATTTTTATGCTTTTTAATTTATTCATGACTTAATTTGCAAGTCTAAATGCATTTTATCGCTTGATGCTACATATGTTGTTTAGGCATGTCCACATTATTCCATTTAAATATGTTAGTCTTTTATTATATTACTTTTCAATAAGATTAAATGGGAGATAAGGAATTGAAAATAATTGCAGGACATGAGTAGGAGCGTGGCTTTCCAGCATCCAACATGCATAAAAAAAGCCTAGTGAAATTTCTGGCCGGAATGGCCCAATACGTTGGAATCACATGCGAACAGAATTTTTAATATAAATATTTGTATTAGTGCTGTTCAGTAGCTGCTAGGTGGTGGCTCAATATAGAGAGCTCCAGGAGCTCGTGTATGTTAGATTTTCTGGTCCTTCTTTTTAAACTCAAAGCACTAGAGCAGTCTGGCTTCATACCTCTTAGTAAGAAGGCGAAACTCCACAATATAATCAGCATAAACTTGTGCCACTTTAGCACATGTCCACTTGACATCTTCTAGCCTCAAACTAATCGTAAAATTGACATTCGATTTGTTCTCCCTAAATGTAATACAAGGCAAATTTGACTGTATTCCTGTCCCCAAGTACCGCGCCGTGAAACGTACAGACTGGTGATGACTGTATTCACAGCTCCTCGTAAGAAGAAGTTCCTTACTCTGCAACTGAAGTGTCGGGTCGGCCCGAGGAGATTTGTCACTGTCATTCCACATTTCGAGGCCCGGTGACAGATGTGCACAAGTTTGATCACTGCAAACTGCACACGTCGTGGTACAGTAATTAGCTCTCCGTCCTTGTATTCGCGAAGTACCATGGATGATTCTCCGTTCTGAGGCAGTAGCGTGCCAAACTATTTTTGGTAAGAGAAACAGAGGTATCTAACAATCGAACTGATAGCAATCAACTCACCAAAATTTACGTCACTTATTGAGTCAATGAGGTCGTTTTGTATTCTGTTCGATACTGTACTGTTCTCAAGGTGAACATTGAGTTTATGATCAGATTTCCTCAACAAGTGAACTAATTCTACATAGTTACCTCGGTCGATAGAATCCACGCTTTCGTCATGACCACGGAGGGCAAGTTGCCTCTTTCCTAAATGGCAGATGATATCAATCAAGCGTTTCATTATTTCTCTATTTTCATTCAAATTTTCATTACGATGTAGTATCGTTAGACGCTTTTGATTGTCAAGTTGACAGTCAATTCGAGATTTCCCGAACATAACAAGTTGCACTGTTGAAATAATGTGAGTCTGAGAGTTCTCATGTCGTTTCTTAGCTCGCAGCTAAGAAGGGAACACACATCACAAGACGCGGTTTACGCAGAAAATAAGAAAAACGACCCCGTAGTGAACGAACCACATGCAAGTTTTAATTAAGACAAATAAGATGAATTATCTTAACAAGTTTTAGTGAGTGTAAATTTATCGTAGTTGACAAATACGGACTTTTTAAATACTTTTTAAATGGTGTTGTGAAAACATATGAGGGCAAGCAATGCAATAGATTGACGTAATTGGGACACCTGATGATGGCACTGTGTTGCCGAAACATGTTGTGAAGTGACAGGTGAAATTGAGTGCACTACAAGACGGCCACTGTATACATATAATGTATACATATAATGTATACATAGTGCAACAAGATGCTAAAATATAACATTACCTATATCACCCAACAAGACTGAAATCACACATAACCATCGAGAAAAACACATTCCTTCGCTGATCTAGCCAGCAAACCGAGATTTGGTTCCGTTGCCCACTTCGGCTAGAATGAATTCGTACGGAGATTAACGAAAGGAAACTTGGTCCGTCCCACCAAGCACGGGAAGGGAGGAGGAGGCGGCATGTAGCCTTGAGCAGGAACACGCGTTAAATGACAATATTCACGTCTTTATTATTAAAATTGAATTTTTATATATGACTTCTTTACTCTTCGTTTCTTAACTATGGAAGCAATGCTTCCCTTGCTTCCATGCACGGCACGCCACTGTTCTGAGGCCAGCTATATTTGCTAAATCCTGTCTTGGTGTTCATTAGTCCTCGAGAAAAATTGGCAACTACTACTTCCTTTCACATCCTTACCATTTCACCATTCATAGTAACGTTCCCAGTCTAGGATATGTAATTCATATAGGGCCGTTATATAAAGTAGTCTACTAGAAATTCCGATTATACATGTCTAAAATATCTACTGTTTGTCGTTTGATAATAACATAAAACTGTGTGAAATAAATTTATATAACGAAGCAGGACGATTGGGAAATGGTAACGAATATGCTGTGTATAGATAGTGAAAAGAGATTTGCTGCAGTCTCTCCATAGTGTGAGTCATTGTTAAAAATCTCGAAATTGTCATACAACTAATGTGTCGAGACGCTTAGTATACGTGATGCAGGCCACCGTCGAATGGGTAAAAGTACTTGTTTTTAACTAATAACAATTAACAATTAATGTTGACCTGTTGATTATATATGACATCACTTATATTTCCTTCTTGGACAGATGTCTTAAAATAGCGAAAATTCAATGAATACATTTATAGCCATTCAAATTATAGCTGGGTGCAGTTCCCCCTCCATCTAGCAGTGCTGTCACTACTGCTAATGCTGCTGCCCCTATTCCCACAAGTGACACTAATACTAGTACCTACTCATTACTACTACTGCTACTGCTAGTAGTATTAGTAGTTGTACCACTGCTGCTACCAGTACCACATATTTATCCTCAGTTATTAGAAGATTTCTTCGGTGGGGAGGGAATATGCCAGACATCTTGTTTCCCCTTCCATGGGATTTTAACTACCCTTTCTGTATCGTGACTGTATAGCACTGGATAATATTGTAACGGATTTGATCAACGCGTTGCCAGGCAACAGCTCTGTAAACACGGTCTAACATGTAACAATAGATGAAGCTATATTTTCTGTAGACCCAACCGACGCGCCAATAAACTGGCTGCATAGCAATCACGCGATATGTGTTTACTGTATGTGCATGTCCGTTCCACGGTTATAAAATTAAGAGTGATAGAATTCGTTCAAGACAGTAACGATTCAGTCGTGAGTTGGAGGAGTGAGTCCAGACGAATTTTTAGTTCCGAGGTTCGAGACTGAAGACGAGATAGACTTCATAGTGATTTGAAGTGCTAATTTTTGTGTTGAGATCCACTGCTAGGAGACGACTAGTGAAAACTGAGAGTCCTAGTGTATGTGTGCGACTGTGGACTGGAAAGTGTGTAAACAGCAACAGCGTTATAATTATGTATAATTACGGGCGGTGTGTGTAAGGAGTAAATAAACCCGTCCATCCAATTCAGACCCCACGTTATTACTCACTAATACGTGTTGCAATATGATGACATAATGACGAAATGGAAAATATTTCAAGTAGTAGTAGTGACCCAGTGGAGATACAAACCCTATTTGCCCGGAGGGAATAAAGAAAACTGTGCGAATATTTTCAATCAGGAAAGCCGGTATTCCAGCCGAGTTTCGAACCGAACACCTTCCAAACACAAATTTAGAGCGTTTTGCCTAGATCAGCATGTTTTGTCAGATGTTATGATAATATTATTGTTGTCACTATTACATTTGTATTTTCTCTCGGCAGTAAGTTTATATGTCTTCTGTTGTCTATTCTAGACGACGTGTGACTTCACAACGCAATGTATCATATAATTCCTACAGCGAAGGGAGATCCTTTATGTCCCCTCGGCTTCCACCCACAGGTCCGTTGGCCCACGAGGTGCAAGCGGTGTTTCAGGTATGTGAGTGCAGAAACAAACAATTCTCGCATGGAAGGGATGGCTGATTGAGTGAGTTAGTGATAGATTCATTGATTAACCTATGCCTTGTGAGTACATACAAAAACCAAATTCTGTGGTTTTAGTTCGCGAGCGAACAACACCCCACGGCCGTTAATTTCGGTTTTCTAGACCGGAGCCTCTATTTCCTAGAAATAGCTCCTCAGTTATCCTCAGGAGGCTGAGTGGACCACGTTCCAGACCCACTACTTCTCAGAAAAAATCTTGTAGTGCCGGGAATCGAACCCGGACCTCTCGATCTGTAGCCAGGAACTCTGACCACTAGTCCACAGAGGCTGTCGTTCACTTTTCGAATATGGTAGCTCTGTACAACTTATACGGCTTGTTTTGTTTAAATCTAGAAACTGCAGGACTTAATTAAATAATTTTCCTGGGGAGTAAAGCGCGGCCAGCGTGTAAGGCTGACAACCTTACCGCCATCTTTGAGCCGATTGTCTAGGGAAACTGTGGGAACCTCAGCATCTCACAAAACTGGGATTTCGCGGCCTGTTTTACAGGGATATCTTTACTTTTTACTTACTTTAACTGCAGGACTTAGAAAAAGAAGAAGTAGAAACGAGATTTCCGAATGTCGGGCTGAGCTCGAGAAATGACCGTATATAAGAAATCTGACTACATAACAAACGAGTAGTTTTGTTTGATTTTTCTATTGAGCTTGAGCTTTTCTTTTTTTCGTACGTTTCCACACCAACCTTTAATATATACAGCAATCGATAGTACACTGCAACTGATACAGAGACTGACCAGAGATTATAATGCAAGATGCGGGTCTCACATTTTTATGGCAACCAAATAAAAGAAGTTGAGGACATTGGCCTGTAGTTACTTGATGGATAACGCATATTTCGGCAACCGAACTTCGAACATAGTATAACAGACAGTGGACAGGGACACTATACAACTACCGAATGCTCTTACAGACCTATATTAGCTGTTTCAAACTTAGAAGTATCTCCTTTATGTTCCACAGAGACTACAAAGAACATGGATCTCGTAAAGAAAAAGACGCTCTGAAGAGGGACGAGACCACAGTATCTTCCCCTAGTCTGTCAAGTTGGAGGAGCTCAACCTCATCGCGGTAAGTTTACGTGAATACGTAACTCTACGCCGATATATTAGTCCCAATATAGGTGACTTACTGATCATAAAACTAATAATGAATTCTTCACCCTTAAAGCCTTCTATTATTACTCCCACCACTACTACCACTACTAATATTAGCAATAATAAAAAAATAATAATAGAATCATTTGCATATTTATATGCTTACTTAGCAGACGAAAGATCAAGACTGAAATAAGCTGGAGCAAATATGAAAAAAGAACATGTACAAAGACAAAGAACAGACAAAACAAGGCCAATTAGACGCTAACACAGATTTATTAAGTAAAAAAGCGCCATCCATTATGAGGCGAGATAATATACGTAGTTACTTAATTATGCAGCTGAGCTTTTCTTAAGCAGATGCCAAATCTGCAGCTACTCAAGAATTTCTCAGCATTTTATGGAACCCGAAAGTTCATTACCTTGTTCGCAAGAGCCCTCCACTAGTCCCTATCCTGAGACACATCAATCCAATCCATACCATCCCATCCTATCTCTCTAAGATCCGTTTTAATATTGTCCACATAGCTACGTCTTGGTCTTCCTAGCGGTCTCTTTCCTGCTGGCTTTCCTGCTGGATTTCCCACCAATATCCTATATACATTCTTCATTTTCCCATTCCTGCTACATGCCCTGCCTATCCAATCCTCCTTGACTTGATTAATCTAATTACACTTGGAGAAGAGTACAAGTTATGACGCTTCTTATTATGCAGTTTTCTCCAACCTCCTGTGACTTAATCTCTCTTTGGTCCAAATATTCTCCTCAACACCCTGTTCTCAAACACCCTCAGTCTATGTTTCACACCCAAACAGAACCACAGGCAAAATTATAGTTTTGTATATACTAATTTTTATGTTTTTGGACAGCAGATGAGAAGACAAAAGGTTCTGGACTGAATGGTCGCAAGCATTACCCAAGTTCAATCGCCTCTTAATTTCCTCCTGAATCAGGTTTCGATCTGTTATCGTTGTTCCCAAATATCTGAACTGTCCCACATTTTCAAAACATTTGTTTCCTACCTTTATGTCATGATTTTGCCCTGCATTTTGGTGACGAGACAGTAACATACACTTAGTTTTCTCTGTGTTTACTTCTAGACCAACCTCTTTACTTGCGTCAATTAAAGCTTGCGTGTTTTTCTTTATGGCATCTACATTATCACCCAGTAGATTCACATCATCGGCATAGACCAACAGCTGATGTGTCCCGTTTAGTTTCAGTCCCACCTGGTTTCCCTGGCCCTTCCTAATTGCATATTCTAAGGCAAAGTTGAAAAGGAGTGGCAATAAAGCATCTCCTTGTTTTAGACCATTCTGGATAGGAAATTTATTAGACACATATTTACCTACACGGACTTTACTATACGTTTCATTTAAACACATTTTAATCAAGCTAACTTGTTTCTTGGGTATCCCAAACTCTATCAGAATATTGTACAATACTTCCCTCCTACCTGAATCATAGGCTTTCTTGAAGTCTATGAATAGCTGATGTACTGTCTCATCGTACTCCCATTTCTTCTCCAATATCTAAGGAATGCAAAAGATATGATCTGTAGTTGATCTGTTATGTCGAAACCCACACTGATGATCCACAATAATTTCATTTACATATGGACTTAACCTTGAAAGAAGAATATTGGACAAAATTTTATATGAAATTGATAGCAGTTATATCCCCCGATAATTACTACAGTCAGCTTTATCACCNGCTAACTTGTTTCTTGGGTATCCCAAACTCTATCAGAATATTGTACAATACTTCCCTCCTACCTGAATCATAGGCTTTCTTGAAGTCTATGAATAGCTGATGTACTGTCTCATCGTACTCCCATTTCTTCTCCAATATCTAAGGAATGCAAAAGATATGATCTGTAGTTGATCTGTTATGTCGAAACCCACACTGATGATCCACAATAATTTCATTTACATATGGACTTAACCTTGAAAGAAGAATATTGGACAAAATTTTATATGAAATTGATAGCAGTTATATCCCCCGATAATTACTACAGTCAGCTTTATCACCCTTCTTGTGAACTGGTACAATAATAGACTCCTTCCACTGATCAGGCAATTTTTTTCTTATCCCAAATAGAAGTAATTAGATTGTGGATTTTAGAATGCAATATTTCGCCTCCTGCTTGAATAAGTTCTGCCTGAATTTGATCACTACCTGGCAATTTATACCGATTCAATTTTGCGATAGCACTTTCAACCTCAAAAGGGCTAGGAACAGGTATTAACGGCTCAGCTGTATGGATTTCTGTCTGCCTAACATCACTGACCCTATGTACATTCAATAACTGAGAGAAGTAGTTCCTCCACCTATTCAAAACATTGTGGGAATCTGCAAGCAGATCACCATTCTCATCCTTCACTAAGTTACTGCTAGTCTGGTAACCCCTTTTAAAGTCATTTATTCCTCTATACAGGTCTCTAATGTTCTTGTTCTTCCTGTTCATTGCAAGCTCATCAATTTTGTCTTTCAGATATTCCTTGTTTTGTTCCTGAAATGCCTGCTGGTTTCACATCTTATATTGTTCAGATTATCCCCATTTAACTCACTTGGATCCTGTAGCCACTGCTATTTGGCCTATTTTCTTTTATCTAATAATTTTGAGCATCCTTCATCGAACCATGGCTTATGCTTCTTCGGTTCATAATAACCTAGACTCTCTTTGGCAGACATGTTTATATTCTCTCTAATAGTTTCCCAAGTTTTATTAACATCCTCCTCAGTGTCCAAGTTTTCCAAGGCCGCGAAACTATTTGGGAATTCAACATGATACTGCTCTTTATCCTCTATCTCATTTAATTTCTTGAGATTGAACCTCACCATTTGAACTGTGTGTGTCGTTTGTTTGCTAACCGCCAGGCTTTCCCTAACCTTTGCCACCACCAGGTAGTGGTCAGTATCACAATCTGCTGCCCTGAATGATCGGACATTGAGTATACTTGAGTGCTGTCTCCTATCTATCAAAATAGGGTCTATTTGATTGTGTATCTTCCCATAAAGAGATGTCCAAGTAAATTTGTGGATGTTACGATGTGGGAACATTGTACTTTTGACAGTAAGATTTTTTGATGTGGCAAAGTTTACTACTCTAACTCCATTATCATTACTAATCGTATGTCTGACTGCTGCTGAACATAATGAGGCGAAGCGGTCCATAAAGTTAATGACTCCGCTGTATGTATCATGCATGAAAGCCAATATGAATTTAATATTTTTATAGAATAAATCAGGATGACAGACGGTAGTTATCTATATCTGTGTGTTAATACAATAGACCACTTTTATGAAGTTTTCTAAGAGACCAAGAATGTGAAATGCTTAAGCAGGAAAATCTAAAAATGTAGGTCCCAGTTTACAACATTTATTATATCCCTTGTAGAAAACTAGTGGAATAAATATTATATATTTTTATACTGACTGAATGGTGAAATATATACTAAATACAGAGGCATTCAAATATACACTATACGTTCCTGCTGTCATGGGTAAAGTGACATAGTCTTTCTTGGAATATTATTAATTCTTTCTCGTCTCTCAAACGAATCTGAAGCAACATTCTCTAGTTCCTGGGGGTTGCTCATGACTGAATCTCGAATGTCAGGAATGCAGCTAGGGAAGAGTAAGGAGGAGGTAGTATGTCTCCAAAGACTGCATTGCTTCACTATCCTTAAAATTGGCTTACATGTTGCTGCCCCCCCCCCACAATAAGCTATTGCATTCCTGTCTTCCAAGCAGAGGTCGTTAATTTCCTGAATTGCACAAAAAAGAAGATTACTATTAGCCTCTACATATTTTTAAAGCTAAATATCATATTCATCCCCTCCTGAACATCTTTACAGATGAGTGGACTTACTTCTGAGTCATAAGTTTCTTCATTGTAAGGTTCTGATGTGTCACAAGAATATGATTTTTCAATTTCAATACAAAATCTTTTCATGACTTATGGCAATCCATGTTATTTTATACGTGGATGTGGCATCAAAGTTATTTTGTAGCATTCTTTGGTGGTCGCTATTCTGTACAGGAACTTGCAGATAAGGCATCTATATTATTTTTGTTTCAAAGACTTGATAATCCCTTGATCTATTGATTGTCGATTTACGCTGTGTTTGCTGCCTCTTCTTCAATTATACTTTTGTACTTTTATATTGACCATTCATGATGCTGTAGCTAAGTCCTGCTTGTTTATCATATTAATCAGATATCCATTCGAAGGTATGAATTTAATATTAAGCTTAACACTACTACTTCAAATTGCTCTCTCAGCATTGAACCTTGAATTGGTATATTTAATGCTAATTTCTGCCAAAACCACTGCAGCATCAATGATTCAATATTGTAATGTTTAAAAATTTTATACTTTTTCTGAATGGCTGAGAAGATAAAAATTGCTGAAGTCTTTCTTTTCGGCATAATATTATTTAGCATCGACACTGGTACGCTAAACCGTTCCACAAAATTAGTGCGCATCACATGTTGTTGAGGATTCACATTCTTAACAATCTCCATTTTCTTAGAATTTGACAACACTTTCAATTTTATGTTTCTTCGTGTAGTCATGCATACAGCTACGTATTACAAGTTGCTTTTCTCTCACGCAACTTCATGATAATCAATACAACTGTTCCACCTTACGTACAAAACAGCATGAAGGATGGAGAATGTCAGAAAGTCACTCATAATTCCACTAAATTTCTGCCAAACTTGGAGTGCAGAATGCTGCTAAGTGCTGCGACGTGCTTGATTTATTGGAATATCTGCTTTGTTTCTCATTGTTTTATAATATAATATGACAAAATATAAAACGGACAAATTGTTCAGCACGACTTTAAAATTGTCCATCTTAGACGAGAAATCTTTGTGTGTGGGAATTGTTTTAGGCGGGATATAAAAAAATTCTTCTTATGGAATGACTGGGGTCCCAATGATTTAAACTATTTAGGCAGGAAACCA